ATAAGGTCCTAGATGCACTAGAAGACAAAAAGAATGCAGATGTAATATATACAGACTTTGCAAAAGCCTTCGACAAGTGTGACCATGGCGTAATAGCGCACAAAATGCGTGCTAAAGGAATAACAGGAAAAGTCGGTCGATGGATCTATAATTTCCTCACTAACAGAACACAGAGAGTAGTAGTCAACAGAGTAAAGTCCGAGGCAGCTACGGTGAAAAGCTCTGTTCCACAAGGCACAGTACTCGCTCCCATCTTGTTCCTCATCCTCATATCTGACATAGACAAGGATGTCAGCCACAGCACCATGTCTTCCTTTGCAGATGACACCCGAATCTGCATGACAGTGTCTTCCATTGCAGACACTGCAAGGCTCCAGGCAGACATCAACCAAATCTTTCAGTGGGTTGCAGAAAACAATATGAAGTTCAACGATGAGAAATTTCAATTACTCAGATATGGTAAACGCAAGGAAATTAAATCTTCATCAGAGTACAAAACAAATTCTGGCCACAAAATAGAGCGAAACACCAACGTCAAAGACCTGGGAGTGATCATGTCGGAGGATCTCACCTTCAAGGACCATAACATTGTATCAATCGCATCTGCTAGAAAAATGACAGGATGGATAATGAGCACCTTCAAAACCAGGGATGCCAAGCCCATGATGACACTCTTCAGGTCACTTGTTTTATCTATGCTGGAATATTGCTGCACAATAATAGCACCTTTCAAGGCAGGTGAAATTGCTGACCTAGAAAATGTACAGAGAACCTTCACGGCGCGCATAATGGAGATAAAACACCTCAATTACTGGGAGCGCTTGAGGTTCCTGAACCTGTATTCCCTGGAATGCAGGCGGGAGAGATACGTGATTATATACACCTGGAAAATCCTAGCGGGACTAGTACCGAACTTGCACACGAAAATCACTCACTACGAAAGCAAAAGACTTGGCAGACGATGCAACATCCCCCCAATGAAAAGCAGGGGTGTCACTAGCACGTTAAGAGACCATACAATAAGTGTCAGGAGCCCGAGACTGTTCAACTGCCTCCCAGCATACATAAGGGGGATTACCAACAGACCCCTGGCAGTCTTCAAGCTGGCACTGGACAAGCACCTAAAGTCGGTACCCGACCAGCCAGGCTGTGGCTTGTACGTTGGTTTGCATGCAGCCAGCAGTAACAGCCTGGTTGATCAGGCTCCGATTCACCAGGAGGCCTGGTCACAGACTGGGCCGCAGGGGCGTTGACCCCCAGAACTCTCTCCAGGTAAACTCCAGGTCCAGGTAAACAGGTGTGAAGGTAGGTATACTCTCTCACAGGCCCACCTCTGAAGCATACACACTGAAATTTTAAAGGAAACTAACCTAATACACCAACTTTAATTTCAGTTTTACTCTTACACTAGGCCCCACTTCCATTAGCCCCTAATTTTGTTCACTGCTACCCCTCACTAACTTTTAACATTCACACATCCCTCCTTGCAGTGCTGTATGACCCTTATGGATTTAGCCCTTAAATTAATAATAATAATGAGTGAATGTAAAACGAAAGCCTGTAATTGTTTTACATGATGGTAGTATTGCTGGTGTCCATTTTTCTGTCTCATAAACATGCAAGGTTTCAGGTACGTCTTGCTACTTCTACTTACACTTAGGTCACACTACACATACATGTTTTTTTTTTTTCAACAAGTCGGCCGTCTCCCACCGAGGCAGGGTGACCCAAAAAAGAAAGAAAATCCCCAAAAAGAAAATACTTTCATCATCATTCAACACTTTCACCACACTCACACATTATCACTGTTTTTGCAGAGGTGCCCAGAATACAACAGTTTAGAAGCATATACGTATAAAGATACACAACATATCCCTCCAAACTGCCAATATCCCAACCAAGCATATATACACACACCCCCCTCTGGGTTTTCTTCTATTTTCTTACTAGTTCTTGTTCTTGTTTATTTCCTCTTACCTCCATGGGGAAGTGGAACAGAATTCTTCCTCCGTAAGCCATGCGTGTTGTCAGAGGCAACTAAAATGCCAGGAGCAAGGGGCTAGCAACCCCTTCTCTATAAATTACTAAATTTAAAAAGAGAAATTTTTGTTTTTCTTTTTGAGCCACCCTGCCTTGGTGGGATACAGCCAGTTTGTTGGAAAAAAAAAAGAAAAGATAAAAAAAAAAATAATAATAATAAACCAAAGAAGCCTACTGTGCAGGCAAGATGTTTCAGCAATAAAGATGCCCAGATGCTGCCCGTGTCTCTTATTCTTCAAAATTTTGGTACTGTATACCATGGATATAAAAAGCAAATGTATGGTTATATACCCACATACAAGAAAACTTGTGAATGGAGGCTTAACTAGCTAAAATTGAACAAAATCAAGTAATGCAAGGATTAAGAGATAAATAATAAAAATGCAACTTAAAAAATTAAAGAAGCTTTAAGGCTTTCCCTGCAACAAATGCATAAAATATTAAGCAGAGCAGTAATTACAAGGGAAGCAACAGATTAGAAACTGGCTTAAAATAATGCTCAAGCAGAGAAGGAAATTAATGGTTTATTACAGTAAATTAATATGGAAGGTGGTTATGCAGATATACCTAAGCATATGACAGAAATAGAGCAGCAGGTGCAGCTAGCTCAGGATATTTCTGAATTTAACAGCAAGAGCTTAGAGTGGAAACTCTTACAGAGTCTAAATCACATGCATACTAGAGATAGTTTTGAAAAAAAAAAAAAAAAAAAAAAAAAAAAAAAAAAAAAAAAAAAAAACTAAGAGAAAAGCTGGATATTGAACATCAGGAGATATTAGCTAAACAATTTAATGCTAGTCTAGTCAAGAAAATGTTATAAGAGGAGTTATCATGGGGAAGCACTAAACCCATAGGGATTATGAAGCTCCTGTAGGGGAAGGGAAGAGAGTGGAAGGCATTTAGGCTCAATTCAGGGAACTGGAGCACAGGTTAAATTCCCTAGATCAAGAGCCTCTCATCATCATGTAAGAAACTCCCTTGAGGGGAGGGTATAGATAATGTTGCTTCTCTACATATTTTAGCAATGAAATAGTTTGACTGTACAATACTGAGTGGATTTTAGGAGATAGTATTATGCCGTGCAAATAATAAAACCAACCAAGCCTAAAGAAACCCACCTAACAAAAATAACCTAGTGTAACTTTACTCCATCATTGGTCTTTGCTTAAGGCTGCTGTCTATGTTTATATTACTTTAATTAGCCAGGCTGCAGTTAATTCATTGACCTCATAACTCATACTACTTATCACAGTATCATTTGAGGAAACCATTTTTTCAATTTAATAAAAGGTTTAACATATATTCAAAATTCAAATAGCTTTTATTTAAAAAATCTGAGGATATCCTAAGAAGGTAACATACCTTGCACGGTATCTCATATTCTGAAATAAAGAAAATAAATGGAACCATATTCCTGCAGGTGTATCATCTTAAATAATATACAATAATTGTTTTTCTTGTACAATATATTTTATTTACATTTTTCATTTTATCAACAAAAATTACAAAATTTCATATTATTAACCCTTAAATGGTCCAAACATATATATACTATGCCCCGAATATTTTGGAAAAAAAAAAAAAAAAATTAGGGTCAGTACTTACCGAGATATGAGGCGGAGAAGTTGGCACTGGATGCTCAAGTGACAGCAACATGGAGTCCTGCCGCTTGCAGAAGTGTTGCCGATATACCTTTTTTTCTATTTTTCATATTTTATGTAATTTTTATGTTCTGATTAATTAAAAGTTGTAGTAGTTCTTGTCATTTTATAACCAATCTTTGTTCTGACACTAGTATTTGGTACTGAAATTGTACTCAAATTGTCACAAACACACTGACAGGTGGACATTTACACCTGCCTTAGCCATTTACTATTGTCTTGGAATATATACAAAGTATTTACATATCCCAGCAATGTTTTGGATATATGGAAGTAAATGAGGAGGAGGAGGAGGAAGAGGAGGGAGGAGGAGGGAGGAGGAGGGAGGAGAAGGAGGAAGGAGGAGGAGGAGAGGGAGGAGAAGGAGGAGGGAGGAGAAGGGAGAGGAGGAGGAGGGAGGGAAGGAGGAGGGAGGGAAGGAGGAGGAGGAGGAGGGAGGAGGAGGAGGGAGAGGGGAAGGAGGAGGGAGGAGGAGGAGGAGGAGGAGGAGGAGGGAGGAGGGAGGAGGAGAGGAGGAGGAGGAGGAGGAGGAGGGAGGAGGAGGAGGAGGAGGAGGAAGGAGGAGGGAGGAGGAGGAGGGAGGAGGAGGGGGAGGAGGGAGGAGGGAGGAGAAGGAGAGAGGAGGGAGGGAGGAGGAGGGAGGAGGAGGAGGAGGGAGGAGGAGGAGGGGGAGGAGAAAGGGAGGAGGGGAGGGAGGAAGAGGAGAGGAGGAGGAGGGGAGGAGGAGGAGGAGGGAGGAGGGAGGAGGGAGGAGGAGGGGAGGGAGGAGAGGGGGAGGGAGGAGGAAGAGGGCGGAGGAAGAGGGGAGGAGGGGAGGAGGTAAGGGAGGGGGAGGGGAGGGAGGAGGAGGGAGGAGGGGAGTGGGGGAGGAGGAGGGAGGAGGAGGGAGGAGGAGGAGGGGGACGGGACGGAGGAGGAGGAGGGAGGAGGAGGGAGAAGGAGGAGGGAGGGAAGGAGGAGGAGGGAGGAGAAGGAGGGAGGAGGGAGGAGGAGGAGGGGGAGGAGGAGGGAGGAGGAAGAGGGGGAGAGAGAGGGGAGGAGGAGGAAGAGGAGGGAGGAGGAGGAGGGAGGAGGAGGGAGGAGGGAGGAGGAGGGAGGAGGAGGGAGGAGGGAGGGAGGAGGGGGAGGAGGAGGAGGGAGGAGGGAGGAGGGAGGAGGGAGGAGGAAGGAGGAGGAGGAGGAGGAAGGAGGGATGGAGGGGAGGAGGAGGAGGAGGAGGAGGAGGGAGGAGGAGGAGGAGGAGGGAGGGAGGAGGAGGAGGGTGGAGGAGGAGGAGGAGGAGAGGGAGGAGGAGAGGAGGGAGGAGGAGGAGGTGAGAAGAGGAGGAGGGAAAGGAGGGAGAAGGAGGGAAAGGAGGGAGAAGGAGGGAAAGGAGGGAGGAAGAAGGAGGGAGGAAGAAGGAGGAGGAAAAGGAGGGAGGAAGAGGAGGAGGGGGGAGGAGAATAATAATACATAATAATAATAGGTAATAATAAGTTCCTCCATGGGGAAGAATAATAATAATAGGTAATAATAAGTTCCTCCATGGGGAAGAATAATAATAATAGGTAATAATAAGTTCCACCATGGGGAAGAAGAATAATAATAATAATTGGTAATAAGAAGTTCCTCCATGGGGAAGAATAATAATAATAGGTAATAATAAGTTCCTCCATGGGGAAGTGGAACAGAATTCTTCCTCCGAAAGCCATGTGTGTTGTACGAGGCGACTAAAATGCCAGGAGCAAGGGGCTAGTAACCCCTTCTCCTGTATATTACTAAATGTAAAAGGAGAAACTTTCGTTTTTCCTTTTGGGCCACCCCGCCTCGGTGGGATATGGCCCGTGTGTTGAAAGAAAGAAGAATAATAAGTTCCCTTGAAGCATGACAAACAAAGTCCACCCCTGACAGTGACATGATGAGATAACAACTGAAAGAGCTGACGTTTGATGAGCATACACGAGGGTGGGGGAGGGTGCAGCTGATAAGAAAAGATTAGAGATATTTGATGAACATCCCCCTCACTTTGTTTTCACTGGTACACAAACATGTCTGTCTGTCTATTTGTCTGTCTGTCAAGCTTCCTGTCTATCGGTCTAGCTCTCTGTCTCAGAGAGCCACAAGACTGCGTCCACGTTTACTCACATCTTCAAGCAGAATACAGTATAGCACTTTGTCTGAATTTTTTGGGTTATCCTAGGTAATTTACACTATACATACTTGTATTTACGTGTACCTGTGAGACAGGGATAGACAGACAAGATAGAAAGAGAGACAGATTGAGAGATACAGAGATAGACAGACACACAGACAGACAGAGGAAGAGACAGACAGACCCTAAACTTGGGGTTAACATCACTTTCCTCTTAAAAGAGGAGTGTTAATATGACATTACATCAGTGAATCCTTAGTGTTTGCCACACTGTTTGCTCAAGCTGGCGCTTAATTTAACTGGCGCTCCCACAAGGTACTAAGGAGACCCAGATTTTTATAATACCACACACACTGAGTGTTAGGACCTATTCTATGCTGACAAGTCATCTCAGGCCAATCATGCCAAATTTGAAGGCACGAAAAATAAAACGTATATATACCTTTGCGGCGCTACGCGTAAGAACATATATATACGTTTGGACCGTTTAAGGGTTAATACATCTTATGAAATAACGTGTTACAAATTTTCTTTCTCAAAAGTGTATTACAGTACAATGAGCTTAGATCAACCTAATGTTTGTATAACATTTTTTTAAACATTTTTTTTAAATATACAAATGGAAAATGCATTACTGATAATTACCATGGTTGTTGAAATGGAACATGGGGCCCATGAGGTCCTCCCAAAGGTGGCCTTTTCCTATGGGAATTGTCATAGCCACTTTGTTGGATCTGCCCTGGTGGTCCAAAAGGAGGCGGCCTTCCATCATACCAGTTTTTCTCCCCTTGTTCATTAAAATTATTTTGAAACTGATTACCTCGAGATGGATAACCTCTATCATGAACAGGTGTATAATTTGGCAAATCCTGTACACCTGGTTTGTTGTACCTTGGTAGACCCTCTGGACCTTCTGGGATACTGCTATGAGAGCCACCTTGTCCAAAATGTTTATTATAATCACTTCCATAGAAATCTTTGTCAAAAGATTCTGAAAATCTTTGCTGAGCATAACGTGAGCTTGAAGTGAAACTTGAACCATCCCTTGCTGTACAAGGCCTACCAACAAATGACATCCTGTTCTGTGAATCAGCAGTCTGATTATGTGAAGATTCAAATTCTCTAAATGCTTCAGTAAGACCAACTGGAGATTTTGAGCTTCCTTGATAAGTGGGTGGTTTTTCTCTCTCAGGTTCTGCTCGATGTAAATTTTCTGGTGGATAGCTATCTGAAAAACCTGTTTTTACAAGGGGATTATATATTATAGGTTCATTTTGCATACTGGACTTTGTTTGCCGAGTTGAAATCGTCTCTGCATTCCGATTTGCTGGAGGATTAGTGACAGGATGCTGTATATCCTTACTGGCAACAGAATCTCTGGACAGTTCATTAGATTGCTTTTGAGAATTGTTGGCATTTGATGGGGTCATTATCTTTTTCCCAGCACTTTTCGCACTTTTCTGCATTTCTTCACGCAGCTTCATTACTTTATTGCTATCAGTCGCCTCTAATTTTTTTAGGTAAGTGGTAAGAGCCTGCTGTTCCTCTGGGCTTAATGAGCGGAAATTTGCCAGAAGTGACCTTAAGTCTTCTAATGATAATTTTTCCATATCTTTTGCAGTTTCATCTTCATATGCTGACTGTAACATAGACAAGCCAAGACTTTTGGAAGAACTATCATGACCAGAACTAGTAGATGATGTATGATTACTTGACATAGCTGATGGGAACAGAGACTTGTTTGACCGAGATGTATCTGATAGTGTACTAAATTTTTGTGGCTTTTCCCTTAAAGGACTATCTGCAACTGAACCACAGACAGGTTCTGTAAATGAACCACAAACAGGTTCAACTGAAGTACAAGCAGGTTCAACTGAGTTATGGACAGATTCTGCAGCTGAACTATGAACAGGCTCTGAAACTGAACTATAAATAGGTTGTGAAACATTTGAAGGGGTGTCTTGAGCTTGCTTTGTTGCTTGCTCTATAAAAATTTTTGCATGAGTAGCAGAAACTGCAATTAGTATATTTTGCAAATCTTCTTCACTTGCATTTGAGTTACCAACGTTTAAGAGATGTTGTGCAATGTATTGCGCAACTTGTATTTTATCTTTACCAAGAGTTGCTCTAGCAATGCTAGTAATATCCAATCCAAGGTATTTTTCTTTATTTGCAAATTTTTCCGCTTCTGATTGCAGCCACATTGCTCTTTCAACAGCCATCTGAGTGCGCACTAAAACTGAAACTCCTAAAATTCTTGCAGAAACTTGTGAACTTAATTTCTCTCTTGCATAACGAACTAGGACAAAATTATCTGGATCACTAAAGAGATCCATTGCATCACCACCATTCTGAGTTTTTTCAATAGCTTTATCAAGAAGGATTGTGATAGCAGGACCAAAAGAACCAAGCTGATCTTCTAATTCATTTAGAAGTTTCAAAGTTCCAATAACAGAAAATTCCTCTTCATAAGTGTTAGGAGGGTCAACTTGAGTATTGTTGACTTCCTTAGGAGGGGAAGGATTTTTAGCACTTTTACTAACTCTTTCATCTTCCCAAGGGCTTGGTGATCTGTCAATGCGACTAGCTGTATCTTTTCTAACAGGGCTCCATGATGAATTGACTTTTGTATCTGTTTTATGAGAGTCAAAATTTTTCCTTAATTCTAAATCAGGATCATCCATGTTAAACTTCCTCAAAAGGGAATATCGTCTGGATTTAAATTCATTGGTCATCAGTTCTTTGATTCGTTGACGCCAAAAAATTGCCCATTCACTTTTGAAATCATGACTAAATGCATCAATCCCCTTTTCTTCCAGTTCACCACACCGACGTTCCCAGAAGATCTTCCACTCACGATTGTAGTCAGGATGAGCTTCAGGTTGCTTGTCATACAGTACCTAATGGGAAAAAATTTAGAGTTAAACTTTTATATTTGATGTCAACAGACTGGAGAGAGGGAGTAAGGAAGAAGTAAATGTTTTCAGATACTTGGGAGCTAACATGTCAGCAAATGGGTTTATGAAGGATGAGGTTAACCATAGAATTGATGAAGGAAACAAGGTGAATGGTGAGTTGAGGTATCTGTGGAGACAAAATATGTTAGCCATGTCAGTGAAGGGAATGTATGAAAGTATAGTGGTACCAACACTCTTATATGGGTGTGAAGCTTGGGTTGAGAATGCTGCAGCGAGGAGGCGGTTGGAGGCAATGGAGATGTCCTGTCTAAGGGCAATGTGTGGTGCAAATGTTATGCAGAGAATTCGAAGTGTGAAAATTAAGAGGTGTGGAGTTAATAAGAGTATTTATTAGTCAGAGGGCTGAAGAGGGGTTGTTGAGGTGGTCTGGTCATTTAGAGATAATGCATCAAAGTAGAATGACATGGAGAGCGTATAAATCTGTAGGGGAAGGAAGGCGGGGTAGGGGTCGTCCTTGAAAAGGTTGGGGGGGGGGGGGTAAAGGATGTTTTGTGGGCAAGGGGCTTGGACATCCAGCAAGCGTGCATGAGCATGTTAGATACGAGTAAATGGAGATGAATGGTTTTTGGGACCTGACAAGGTGTTGGAGTGTGAGCAGGGTAATATTTAGTGAAGGGATTCAGGGAAACTGGTTATTTTTATATAGCCGGACTTGAGTTCTGGAAATGGGAAGTACAATGCCTGCACTTTAAAGGAGGGGTTTGGGATATTGGCAGTTTGGAGGGATGTGTAATAGGATGGTATATATATAATTGGGGCCCTGATATTATATTCTATATGGAGTTTATTATATTATTTCAGGTAACTTTTTATATTGTATTTTTATATATGCTTCTAAGCTGTTGTATCTGGGTGCCTCAGCAAAAAGTGATTATGTATGAGTGAGGTGAAAGTGTTGAATGATGAAAATATTTTCGGTTTTGGGACTTTTTTTCTTTCTTTTTGGGTCACCCTGCCTAGGTGGAAGACGGCCGACTTGAAAAAAAAAAATGATAACTTTACTTATGTGTACCTGTGAGAGACAGACAGAGATACAGAGAGACAGATACAGATGGAGAGAGAGCCAAATTCAGTCAGCCAGGCAGCCAACCACCCACCAAGCCAGCTAGCCAGCCGAATATGTATTACACGTTCCAGAGTCGTTTCTCTTTACTTAGGGCATAGGTTGTAGGACTACCATTGGTCTTCTCCCATTCCACTGTGTCGACAATACTTAAAGATAACAGAAACATACAATACTGTACGAGATGTAAAATCTACAATACAGTCCACTACCATGTATACATAATATACAGTACATAAATGACTGAGAAGAAGCTGGATGTCCTGGCTTTAAGTGACACAAAGCTGAAGGGGTTGGGAGAGTTTCAGTGGAGAGGAATAAATGGGATTAGGTCATGGGTTTCAAATACAGTTAGAGCTAAAGAAGTAGCAATAATATTGAAGGATAAGCTATGGCAGGAAAAGAGGGACTATAAATGTATTAATTCAAGGATTATGTGGAGTAAAATAAAGGTTGGATGTGAAAAGTGGGTTATAGTATGCATATATGCACCTGGAGAAGAGAGAAGTGTAGAGGAGAGAGATTGATTTTGGGAAATGTTGAGTGAATGCATGGGGAGTTTTGAGCCAAGTGTGAGAGTAATAGTGGTTGGGGATTTGAATGCTAAAGTGGGCAAAAAAAATGTTGTGGAGGGAGTAGTACGTAAATTTGGGCTGCCAGGGGCAAATGAAAATGGGGAGCCTTTAACTGAGCTTTGTGTAGAAAGAGGTTTAGTAATAAGTAATACATATTTTATGAAGAAGAGGATAAATAAATATACAAGGTATGATACAGCACGTAATGAAAGTAGTTTGTTAGATTATGTATTGGTGGATAAAAGGTTCATGGGTAGGCTCCAGGATGTACACGTTTATAGAGGGGAAACTACTAATATATTGGCTCATTATTTAGTTGTAGCTACAGTGAGAGTAAGAGGTAGATGGGAAAAGAGGAAAATGGCAACAACAAGTAAGAGGGAGGTGAAAGTGTATAAACTACGGGTGGAGGAAGTTATGGTGAGATATAAGCAACTATTGGCAGAAGGGTGGTCTGGTGCAAGTATGAGTAGTTGGGGGGGGGGGGGGGGGCAGTTGAAGAGGGTTGGAATAGTTTTAAAAATGCAGTATTAGAATGTTGGGCAGAAGTTTGTGGTTACAGGAGGGTGAGTGCAGGAGTAAAGAGGAGTGATTGGTGGAATGATGAAGTAAAGAATGTGATAAAAGAGAAAGTTAGCTTATGAGAGGTTTTTACAAAGCAGAAGTGTTATAAGAAGAGTAGAGTATATGGAGAGTAAAAGAAAGGTGAAGAGAGTAGTGAGAGAATGCAAAAAGAGAGCAGATGATAGAGTGGGAGAGGCACTGTCAAGAAATTTTAATGAAAATAAGAAAAATTTTTGGAGTTAAACAAGTTAAGAAAGCCTAGGGAACGAATGGATTTGTCAGTTAAAAAGAGTAGGGGGAGTTAGTAGATGCGAAGATGGAGGTATTGGGTAGATGGCGAGAATATTTTGAGGAACTTTTAAATGCCAATGAAGAAAGGGAGGCGGTAATTTCATGCACTGGCCAGGGAGGTTACCATCTTTTAGGAGTGAAGAACAGGATGTGAGTATGGGGGAGGTGCGTGAGGCATTACGTAGAATGATAAGGGGTAAAGCAGCTGGAACTGACGAGATCATGACAGAAATGTTAAAAGCAGGGGGGACATATTGTTGGAGTGGTTGGTATTTTTGTTTAATAAATGTATAAAAGAGGGGAAGGTACCTAGGGAGTGGCAGAGACCATGTATAGTCCCTTTATATAAAGGGAAGGGGGACAAAAGAGATTGTAAAACTTATAGAGGAATAAGTTTACCGAGTATACCAGGAAAAGTGTACAGTAGGGTTATTATTGAAAGAATTAGAGGTAGGACAGAATGTAGAACTGCAGATGAGCAAGGAGGTTTTAGAATGGGTAGGGGATGTGTAGATCAAGTGTTTACATTGAAGCATATATGTGAACAGTATTTAGATAAAGGTAGGGAAGTTTTTATTGCATTTATGGATTTAGAAAAGGCATATGATAGAGTGGATAGGGGAGCAATGTGACAGATGTTGCAAGTATATGGAATAGGTGGTAAGTTACTAAATGCTGTAAAGAGTTTTTATGAGGATAGTGAGGGTGTGTGGAAGAGAGGGAGACTACTTCCCAGTAAAAGTAGGTCTTAGACAGGGATATGTAATGTCACCATGGCTGTTTAATATATTTATAGATGGGGCTGTAAAAGAAGTAAATGCTAGGGTGTTTGGGAGAGGGGTGGGATTAAATTATGGGGAATCAAATACAAAATGGGAATTGACAGTTACTTTTTGCTGATGATACTGTGCTTATGGAAGATTCTAAAGAAAAACTGCCAAGGTTAGTGGATGAGTTTGGGAGTGTGTGCAAAGGTAGAAAGTTGAAAGTGAGCATAGAAAAGAGTAAAGTGATGAGGTTATCAAGTGATTTAGATAAAGAAAAATTGGATATCAAATTGGGGAGGAGGAATATGGAAGAAGTGAATGTTTTCAGATATTTGGGAATTGACGTGTCAGCAGATGGACTTATGAAGGATGAGGTTAATCATACAACTGATGAGGAAAAAAAGGCGAGTGGTGCGTTGAGGTATATGTGGAGACAAACGTTATCTATGGAGGCCAAGACAGGAATGTATGAAAGTATATTAGTACCAACTCTCTTATATGGGTGTGAAGCTTGGGTTGTAAATGCTGCAGTGAGGAGGAGGTTGGAGGCAGTGGAGATGTCCTGTGTAAGGGCAATGTGTGGTGTAAATATTATGCGGAAAATTTGGAGTGTGGAAATTAGGAGAAGGCGTGGAGTTAATAAAAGTATTAGTCAGAGGGCTAAGAGGGGTTGTTGAGGTGGTTTGGTCATTTAGAGAGAATGGATCAAAGTAGAATGACATGGAGGGTGTATAAATCTGTAGGGGAAGGAAGGCAGGGGGTCGTCCTCGAGAAGGTTGGAAGGGCTAAGAGAGGTTTTGTGGGCAAGGGGCTTGGACTTCCAGCAAGCATGTGTGTGTTCGATAGGAGTGAATGGAGACGAATGGTATTTGGGATCTGACAAGCTGTTGGAGTGTGAGCAGGGCAATATTTAGTGAAGGGATTTTTATATAGCCAGACTTGAGTTCGGGAAATGGGAAGTGCAATGCCTGCAATCTAAAGGAGGGGTTCGGGATATTGACAGTTTGGAGGGATATGTTGTGTATCTTTATACGTACAGTGGACCCCCGCATAGCGACTTTAATCCGTGCAAGAGGGCTGATTGTTATGCGAAATGATCGGTATGCGAATGAATTTTCCCCATAAGAAATAATGGAAATCAAATTAATCCGTGCAAGACACCCAAAAGTATGAAAAAAAAAAATTTTACCATATGAAATATACATTTTCCTACACACAAAGAGAAGGATACATGCACAATAGTAGAGTAGTACATGCACAATATATATTGTGCATGTACTACTCTACTAAATGAAGAATAAATGACACTTACCTTTATTGAAGATGCAGCAATGACTGATGAGACACTGTGTCCTGGGAGTGCCTTTTCCTCCTGAGTACTGTAGGTCCTGTTTGGCATTTTCTTCCAGAACAGGCCTTATCACACTGTGTATGCCACTACGATTCTTAAATCTCTCAAACCAACCTTTGCTGGCTTTTAAATTCACCAATATGAGCACTAGTTCCAGGCATTTTCCCCTGTTCACCTGGGTGTTAGTCGACTGGTGTGGGTTGCATCCTGGGAGACAAGATTAAGGACCCCAATGGAAATAAGTTAGACAGTCTTCGATGACACTGACTTTTTTGGGTTATCCTGGGTGGCAAATCCTCTGGGGTTAATTGTTTCTTGGTATTCTCAATAAGCCACACCAACAACGGTGCTACAGCAGCAGCAGCGCAGCTGCAGTACTACAGCAGCAGCTGACAGTGCTACAGCAGCAGCAGACGGTACTACAGCAGCAGCTGACGGTGGTACAGCAGCAGCAGACGATGCTACAGCAGCAGCAGACGGTACTACAGCAGCAGCTGACGGTGGTACAGCGGCAGCAGCAGCTGACGGTGGTACAGCAGCAGCTGACAGTGCTACAGCAGACGATGCTACAGCAGCAGCAGAAGCTGATGGTGGTACAGCAGCAGCAGCAGCTGACAGTGCAGCAGCAGCAGCTGACGGTGGTACAGCAGCAGCAGCAGCTGTACCACCAATAGTAGCGATGGTTGATTGGGGTTTATTATACAACCTGGCCAGCTCGGAGACACGCACACCACTTTCATACTTATCAATGATCTTTTTCTTCATCTCTATAGTAATTCTCACCCTTATTGCTGTAGGGTTGGCACTGGAAGCTTTCTTGGGGCCCATGGTCACTTATTTTGCAGATAAAATCACCAAAAACACTGTAATAATACGAAATGTTCCGATTGTATGCTTGGATGTTACCGCGGAGGCTGGCTGGTAAACAATGCCACCGGCGGCACATGTGAGGCTGGCTAAGGGCGCACATTGGACGCATCTCGGACGAAGAGCGGTGAGCGGGTTTTTGAGCGGTATGCGAGGCAAAATTTTTGCGGAAAAAGCGAGCGGTATGCGGATTGAACGTTATGCGATGCGTACGGTATGCAGGGGTCCACTGTATATTCTTCTCAACTGTTGTATTCTGGGCACCTCTGCAAAAACAGTGATTATGTGTGAGTGAGGTGAAAGTGTTGAATGATGATTAAAGTATTTTCTTTTTTGGGATTTTCTTAGTTTTGGGTCACCCTGCCTTGGTGGGAGATGGCCGACTTGTTGAAAAAAAAAAAAATTAAAATGTATCAATAGTACATTATGGTAAAAACAATGAAATAATGATTGTATATTACATTACGGTACTATGTATGTAGTTTATATAGCAAAGGTTTGACATGTCCTACCCAGTATGTTGGCAATTTTCAAAGGTTCGGCTTACGTTGATTTTGAATTACGACCAGTTGGTCGGAACCAAGCTCGTTCATAAGTCTGATGGTACTTGTATATATACATACATCATAACTTCCTACCTGCTTGTTTGTGTGTTGGGCCCTTAGTCTTGTTTCAGAGTCTTTAAATGCCTTCAATTTTGCCTCAGTGGTAAGCTTATTTTGTTCTCTAGGTGCTTCCTTGCTCCTCAGAGGGCTCTGCTGTGGTCGTCTATCATTCCTAGATTTAGATATATGATGATTTAAATATTTGTTATAAACATCTAGAAAAAATAAAACAGTAAAAAATGTCTAAACATATATACAAAGAAAGCCAGAGGATATACTAGGACAAGTCTAGATAAACCATGCACAGATTAAAAATTTACATAAAATTAACCCTTCAACAATGTGGGGGGTTAGGGGCGCTAACCCCCTGCGCAGTAGAAAATCTGCGTATAACTTTTGACTCCTCAAAACTTAATTATTAATGGCATACTGTTGACCAAAAGTCTTAACAATAACAAACAGTTGATTAAACACACTATTCTGTACATTATATGTATTACATACTGTATTCTTACAATAAAGTAAGCAAGAGAAAAGAAAATGTTAAGAAAATCATAAGGAAGATAAAATACATTTACCATGCTGTACTGTATTTATCGATACTGAAGTCTACCTCGTCTGTTTACGAGATGAATTGTCTGTTTGTCAGTACCTACATCAACATTGTCTTATATGATACAAAACACTGTAGATATATGTATTACTAACACTAGATATCAAATATGAAAAGATAATGTGAAAAAGAAATTTACATTTATTTATGATTTAGTATTGCATCTTTACATATGTTTACACTGCTCTCAACTGCCAATGGAATGTGTATGATCTATATTATTATTATTATTAATTATATTATTATTTATTTTAATATGTCGGCTGTCACCTACCAACACTTTCATCGTCATTCACACATAATCACTGTATTTGTAGAGGCAGCCAAATACTAGAGTTCAGAAAATATTCCAAACTCCTCCTTTAAAGTTCAGGTATTGCAGTTCCCACTTCCAGGACTCAAGTCCAGGTAACGAGTTTCCCAGAATCCCTTTGCTAAATATTACCCTGCTCCCACTCCAATAGCTTGCCAACTCTCAAAAACCATTCGTCTCCATTCATTCTTATCTAACATGCTCACACATGCCTGCATGTTTTCCTTAACGCACCTGCTGTCCATGTTCACCTATCAGTAAATTCACTATTACATAGTATGTTATTATTATATTGACCCATGTGGGTTTAGCACTTAGTTATCATTATAATAATAATAATAATAATAATAATAATAAATTATTATTATAATACTATTACATTATTGCATCTTTACGTTTGTTTACATTTCTCTCAACTATGAATGGAACATGTATAATCTGTAATTCTTTGCGTAGGCAAGTTTTGATAAACTTTTCCTAATAGATTTGTGTATATTTTATGGTAGTAAAGGATAAAATAGACTAGTATCTACCTATAGTTTATGGATTAATGACATACCAAACTTTTTTCTTAATTTTTTCAGTTGCAAACCTCCAAAAAAAATTCTAACGTATTTACTGAGAAAAATCTGAGTACAGTGGTACCTGGGATTTCGTACTTAATCCATTCCAGAAGGTCATTCTAAATCCAAAACGTATGAAAACCAAAGTAATATTTCCCATAAGAAATGTAAATTTAATTAATCCGTTCCAGACACCCAAAAATATTCATGAAAAATTCATTTTTTAAAGAATAACTATAGTTTTCTTTAGTTTTTCTTTTTGGGCCACCCTGCCTTGGTGGGATACGGCCAGTTTGTTGGAAAATAAAAATTATAGTTTTACATACAGAAAACAATGAGAAATAAATATAAAGGACTAATTTTAATGATAAATGAACATCACATACCTTTATTGAAGACTCGTTTGCATATTGAAGAAGGCGAGGAAGAGAGAGAAAGCTGAGGTTACTGTTTGGAAAGGGAATCCTCCTCCATAAGGAGTTCAGGCATCAAAACCCTCTCTGGGGTTATTTCCCTTCTTTGTCTTTTACTGGCACTGGACCCCTGTCTCACTAAAAATCTGTCCAGAGAGCTCCGTTTCTGGAGTCTCGAAGATTTGCCTAAAATGGGACATGTTGCAGATACAGCTTGTATCAGCTTGGTCAGGGTGATATTTCTCAACAAAAGTTTGCACTTCATTCCACTTCGCACACATGTCCTTAATCATTGAAGAAGGCACCTTCTACCCTCTCTCTTCCTCCTCCTCTGAAGCAATTTTCTCAGCTGCAGTATGTTGCTGTTCCAGTTGAAGGTCTTGGAGCTCTTTAATGGTTAGCTGTTCCCTGTGGTCCTCCACCAACTTTTCCACATCCTGGCAACTCACATCCAACCCCATGGACTTCCCCAAAGACACAATACATTCCACAACAGGCATAGGGTCGATAGGGTCAGCCTTAAACCGTTCAAAATACATCCATACATCCTGGCAAGCTTGGCTAAATGTATGCCACTTTCATATTTTTCTACAATCTCTTTCTTGAATTCTATCGTGTTTCTCACTTTCTTTACCAAAGGGCTGGCACTAGGAATTTTCTTTGGGCCCATGGTGGCTTATTTCGCAGTCGCAATCGATAAACAAGCACAAAAATTGCGAAATGTTTCGGATGAATGCTCACTCAACCAGTCACACTGGGGCAGTGTCCTGGCGGGCGGACGTGTCTGATACGTACGATTCCCGGGACAAGGTACGAAATCCAGAGCAAAATTTCACCCCCCCCAAAAAAAAAAAGTGTTCTAAATCTGAAACGTCCGATATCTGGTGAACGCGAATTCCGGGGTTCCACTGTATAAATTTACCCGAACAGTTCACACCTGTGTTGTTTAAGAGTCAACTGTACACAAATTTAGGTACAGTGGACCCCCGGTATTCGATGGCATCGGTATTCGATAAATCCGGTGTTCGATACATTATATCGCAAAAAAATTTCCTCGGTATTCGATTGAAAACCCGGTATTCGATACGATTCGTATGAGATGTGTCCACGTGTGGCCTGAACTGCCCCGTGTGTGCCAGTGTTTACAAGCCAGCCAGTGTGCGCGCATCTAAGGATACATTCGGTACATTCCATATTATCCATATTATCACTGTGTTTGGTGCTTGTTTCTGCAAATTAAGTCACCATGGGCCCCAAGAAAGCTTCTAGTGCCAACCCTTCAAGAAAAAAGTCGCTAATGACTTATGAAATGAAGAAAGAGATAATTGCAAAGTACGAAAGTCGAGTGCGTGTGTCGGAGCTGGTTAGGTTGTATAATAAACCCCAATCAACCATCTCTACTATAGTGACCAGGAAAACGGCAATCAAGGAAGCTGTTCTTGCAAAAGGTGCAACTGTGATTACGAAACAGCGACCGCAAGTGTTAGAAAATGCTGAGAGACTGTTATTGGTGTGGATAAATGAAAAACAGATAGCAGGATCTGTTGGAGTGTGAGCAGGGTAATATTTAGTGAAGGGATTCAGGGAAACCGGTTATTTTCATATAATCGGACTTGAGTCCTGGAAATAGGAAGTACAATGCCTGCACTTTAAAGGAGGGGTTTGGGATATTGGCAATTTGGAGGGATATGTTGTGTATCTTTATATGCGTATGCTTCTAAACTGTTGTGTTCTGAACACCTCTGCAAAAACAGTGATAATGTGTGAGTGTGGTGAAAGTGTTGAATGATGATGAAAGTATTTTCTTTTTGGGGATTTTCTTTCTTTTTTGGGTCACCCTGCGTCGGTGGGAGACGGCCGACTTGTTGAAAAAAAAAAAGATAATAACAATCATATTTCAGTCAACAAGTATCAGTAACACCATTCGTCAATAGCTAGGGTCAATCTTAAGATCATACATGGTTAGGATTTTTAAAAAGGCTCCATGTGGAAAAAAAAAAATCCACACCTCAAGTTAAGAGGAGGATGAAATATTTAGCACAGACTGCATATACACCTACTATCCGACTTACGACCGAGTTCGGTTCCGAGAAACCGGTCGTAAGTCGAAATGGTCGTAAGTTGAACTTTACTACTGAATATCAACAAAACATTTTTGTAATGACTACTTTATTGTTTTTTTTTTTTTTTGGTATTTCATGTTTTACTTTAATTTTTATGTTGTTAGTACTGTATTTTATACTGTAAGGTTTAGGATAAACACTGTGTACAACACAAATAGTTGTTTATTTCCCAGAAATTTGGCATAAAAAACACGGTCGTAAGTCGAGTAGTCGTAAGTCGGATGGTAGGTGTATATGCAATTAAATATTTTAATGGAAAAAATCATATTATAAGAATGCAAAAAAAAATTCTTATGATCTAATACCAGCAAATAAATAGCTAGGGTAAAAAAAAAAATTAAATTAAATTACAGCCTCTTCTCATTTAACGACAGAGTTTGGTTCCTAAGACCACGTCAGTAAACAAACTCATCGCTAAACAAGGAGCATACTGTAATGTCAGTGGGTTTGTGTCAACCATCTCTGATACTGTTTTAATGTCACTTTTGCATCATTTATAAAATTTTTTGTATATTTTTAAATGTTTATACAGTAGTGTACTGTAGTATATTGTAATATACAAAATAGAGGAATTCAGGTCTAATATACATTATTTAGGTATGCATACTGGTAAGGGAGCCCATCGTAAGTCCGAGTCGTTGGAAAATGAGTTCGTCGCTAAGTGTGGAGAGGCTGTATATGTTTTACTACAAGATTAATTTACTGTAAACCAATAAAATAAGTTACTATTCTAACCTTTCATATAGCACAAATAAAATCTGCAAATACTGTACAACTTACCTCCTATATGGTGACCTGTGCCTAGATCGTGAACGACTACGTGATCTGTACCTAGACTGTGACTGGCTATTCGATCTGTGATGGGTGGGTAGACCCTTGGAGTGTGATGCTGAACGACTATTTGATGGAGAAATAGGTGACTTGGACTGTCTCCTCTTCCTGCTCCCAGTATATACGTGCATGCTTTCCTCCTTAGGTGGAGAAGAACGACTACGCTTCCTAAGTTTGTAGATAAAAAATGAAAATATTGTACATTAACAGTCTTAGTTACCATATACAATAATAATAATATAATCAGTAACAATAATAATGACGCTGATGATGATAGTTATAATGATGAAAAGAAAGCAAATCAGAAGGGAGCAAAAGGTTAGGATAGAACAGGAAATTATTGGAAAAGGCAAGATAGGACTAGAATGTAAAAATTAAAGACCACTTAACAAAACTGACAAAAAATATAATTAAAGGCATTATTTTCATGGAGGAGAGTTAAGAGTAGCAACAGAAGGGAAAGAAAAGGTGTTAAAAATAATGGTGCATTCTAAGATTAAATACAAAAGACATGCCTCACAGGACAGATCAATATAGTGAAGGAATATTACCCTAGTCATAAAAGATTTTAACAGGGCAAGAGAGAGAGGCCCTAAAACAAATGTTATTGCTAATTATAAAAGCCAAGTAGTAGTACTATGAAAGAACAAAGCTGAATGCAGATAAAGTAATGTCTGTCTGTTTTCTCTCCAGAAGAGAAATCCAAAGCAGGTGTAATCTGGGAAGACACACACCCTTAATCCTTTCACTGTAGCACCCACTCAAAATTAGAGATTCTGCATCACAAAAAAAAAAAAAAAAAAAAAAAAAAAAAAAAAAAAAAAAAAAAAAAAAAAAAAAAAAAAACTTTGGTGGCAGTAAGAAAACAAAGATAAAATGAAAACCAGTCAATTATTTACCAAGATTTGAAGGCATGAGATTATGACTGCATTTTCAGGCTTTCATTCCCCAAGTAGTATTGTAAGCTAGAATGCTTATTTCATGTCCAATGTCTTGTTTTTTTGGTTAAGACTTATTACAAATCAAAACTGTTCCACTTTATCATCAGGATATTTGTTTATACTCTCTGTCAACAGAAATGTATACACACACATCCATTTGCTTCAGTTTTCTACTGTTCTAATATATGGACATGTGCATACAGGCACTGGTAATTTTTGTTAAATTATTGCAGTTCGTGAAAGTCTCTGAAGCAAGGTTCTATAACCATATTTTGTGCTCCCCACACACACACACACACATCATATATCTCTGCACTTAACTGAAGCCACTTACTTCTGGTTTGGAAACAGGAAATAAAGTTAGAAAGTGAGCACTAAACCTCGAACAAGAGGGTATATGGTCATCTGTATGGTGGCACATGTTGTGGTGTTTTGACGTGGTATTTTTACATTTGTTTGATGACAGAGACGTGGGCATACATCAGTCTGTTCCCAGGGCCCTTCAGGTACAGAAGGGCCCTGTTTATACAGCAGGTTAGGTTCTTGGCTACTTTTGATATACCTTTGAAGAGTTTCGAGAGTTTATCTACTCTCTGAGCCTGGCCATGAGTCAGGTTCGTCTGGTGCTTGCCTGGTCAACCAGGCTGTTGCTGCTGGAGGCCTGCTGCCCCACATACCTATCACATCCTGGGTGATCTGGCACCTGGTGAAGATACTTGCCCAGTTTCCTCTTGAAGGCTTCTACACTCGTTCCAGCCATGTTTCTGATATCTTCTGGTAAGATGTTGAATAGTCTGGGACCTCGGATGTCGATACAGTGTTCCCTTATAGTCCCCACTGCACCCCTGCTCCCAACTGGGTTTATTTTACACTTCCATATCTCTCTCTCCAATATGTTATAGGTAATATGCAGATTTGGGACCAGGCCTTCAAGTATTTTCCAGGTACATATATATTATCATGTATCTCTTTCTCCTCTGCTCCAATGAATACATGTTCAAGACCTGCAGGCGTTCCCAGTAGTTTAGGTGCTTTACAGGCTCAATGTGAGCCTTAAACGATCTCTGTATTGTTCCAGCTCCGATATTTCTCCTGCCCTGAACGGGGCCGTCAGCACTGAGCAACATTCTAAGTGAGGGAGCACTAGCGATTTGAAGTGTGTCTCATCGGCATTATTTCCCTTGTTTTGAAAGTTCTCAATACCCACCCCGTCATCTTCCTGGCTATCATGATCTTTGTCTTGTTATGGTCTTTAAAAGAAAGGTATGCTGACATAATTATTCCTAGGTTTTTTAAGTGTTCCTTACGTTCTATATGGTGACCCTCTTGAGTTTTGTATATAGTGTTCCTTTTGAGTTCTTCATTCTTTCCATACCTAATCAGCTGGTACTTGTCACCACTGAACGTCATGTTGTTCTCCACTGCCCACTGGAAAACTCTATTTATGTCTTCCTCTACTTTTTCAGTGTCCTCTACCGTAGTGACTTTCATACTTATTTTAGTGTCATCTGCAAATGATGATACAAAAGTGTGCCGGGTGTTTTTGTCTATGTCTGCTATGAGGATGAGAAACAGCAGAGGTGCCAGGATAGTGTCTTGGGGCACTGAGCTTTTGACCTCGCTGATGCTGGATCTTGCCCTGTTCACTACTACTTTTTGTGTTCTGTGTGTTAGGAAACCGAAAATCCATCTGCCTACCTTCCACATAATGCCCATGGCGTTCATTTTGTGTGCTATCACTCCATGATCGCATTTGTCAAACGCCTTTGCAAAATCTGTGTAAATCACATCTGTGTTTTGGTCTTCCAATGCCTCCGTAATTCTGTCATAATAATTCGGCAGCTGTGACAGGCATGATCGTCCTGCTCTAAAACCATGCTGGTTCGGGTTATGTTGGTTGTGCTGCTCCATGAAATTTGTAATTTGCCGTCTCATCACTCTTTCGAAGATTTTTATGTGTAAGATTAGGGCTACTGGTCTATAATTTTTAGCTATTGCTCTACTACCTCCCTTATGCAAAGGAGCTATGTCTGCACTCTTTAAGGCCTCCTGTATTTCACCTAGAACTAAGCTCTTTCTCCAAAAAATACTGAGGGCTCGTGCTAGTGGTACATTGCACTTCATTATAAACAGAGCATTCCATGAATCTGGTCCAGGTGCTGAGTGAGTGGGAATGTTTTCCATTTCTTTTTCAATAACTAAGGGATTTGTACTAATGTCAATCAGTTGGTCTGCACGGCCTTCTTCTGGAGTGAAAAATATTTCTGCATTTTCTACCTTGCTGTCATTTAGTGGGTTGCTGTATATAAAAGCCTGATATGCTTACTCTTACCATATTTTAAGTGAGCAATAAAAGTAGGCCTAAAAGATGCATATCCATACAGTACACATATTACTTACCTTAAAATATATTCATCCTTAGCTTGTTGTGAGTGGTGAATATATTTATCGTAGGAAGTCTGAACGAGTGAAGAATGGGTATAATTGAAAACTGATGCATTAATGAAACATCACAAAGCGAAGCTCTGTAAAGCAGGGCCTGCCTGTATTCAGCATTGCAATGTCAACAAGATGGAAGAGCAGTTTTATGTACCACTTGTAACTTTTCTAGATACAACCAACAAACCCAAATTGCATGTTATATCTGTCCACCAAATGCATATTTTTTTTGTGTAATCAATGACAGCAGCTAGTCTCACAATGGGTTCATTATTTCTTTATTCATCTTTCCTGTTCCTTTGATTTTGTTCTTGTGGGTGGATGTCAATGTCGCATCACATGTGTCATGCCACCAAAATGCCAAGGGCATAAAACACCTACACTTTACTCCCACCATTGCCTGCACTAAACCTGAGCATATGTTTTCATGTTCCATGCATGAACCTTCCAGTCACTGTTTGCCAGTGTTGAAAACTAAGCCAATCAGCTGTAGAACTATAAAAAAAAACTTTGGGAAAGAAAAAAAAAATAAGGTCAACCACATAAAGGTGCCTAATTTACAGATACCTAATTAGTCCCACAACCTGGTTCACTAATAAGCCTCTTCTAATGAAGAGTAAATAATTACTTCATTGTACTTTAGTGACTGCAGCAGCATCAAAGATGAAAGTTAAGATTAACATTACTATAAACTTGAGTGCTGATTCTAGAGACAGGAACATAATACATTATAATAATGTTAATATATAAGACTCAGGACTGTTAGGATTTATCTATGCCTGTTCCTGCTAGAGAATAAAACTGCTACCAGAAAATATTGAGGAGTAACAAATTCAGAAACCAAGAGAGTAAGACACAAAGAACAACTCAAGAACACAAAGACACAATACCATGACTGGAACAATACACAAATAACTTGCACATAGGAGAAAGAAACTGTATGATGTTTTGGTCCAACTTGGACCATAAACTAGTCACAATGATTAGTTAATGGTCCAAGTCAAACTGAACGGTATTAGAAAAGTTTTTCTCCTATATGCGGGTTATTTGTGTAAGATACAACTGTTCTATGTATTCATCCCTATATTTACCCTTGTTTCACAGACCACCCCACTCTGAAACACACACGATATACAACTACTAAAATTGTGCACTTTCCTAATACAACGAAATACTAACAAAACAAATCTGAGAAAGAATAGTATAAAAACACGTTCTGTGTGGAATATTTAGTGAGAGTTGCCAGCTGGGCTATTTTTTGTCATACTTCAGCATGCTAGAGAAGGGCAACTTTTCAATTTTTTTTTATTATAATATTCAGTTTATATATTTGACAATCTAGCACGAAAAAATGTTAAAAAAATTTCAAAATGCTGCCTACAGCAAACCTGTCACAGCTCTAATCTGCAAAGAGCTTCCTAGTTTATCTTGCACTTTTCTTACACCAATAAAACATGTTCACAACTTTATAACTTTCAACAATACCATCAAATATATTTGCAAAATGCTCAAGTTACAAATACTATTGACAAAGCACGAGATAAAATTCTTACGTTTTCTTGCTAACTGGTGAACTTGATTTTCTTCTCCTCTTGGATGAAGGCGATCTGGAATTGTTTCTTTTAGGCAAGGGAGATCTCACCGGAGACTGTGAAGGACTCCTATAGCCTGAATTCGGACCAGGTCGATAGTTCCTTTTTCTAAACCCTTGTCCTGCAAGCAATGGTTATATACATCTCTATTCTTTGTATGGTGTACTCACCTACATGTGGGTGCAGGGGTCGATTCACAGCTCCTGGTCCTGCCTCTCAACTTACCGCTTGCTCGATTCACTCCTAGCCCTGTGGTCTCTATATTATCTATTCTTAAAATTGTGTATGGAGTGACTCCTCCACTTCTTCATCAAGGTCATTCCACTTCCCAACCACCTTCAGACTGAAGAAATACTTCCTGACATCCCTGTGATTCAATGGTGTCTTTAACTTTCAGGCTGTAACCTAGAGTACCTGTTTCCTGCCTCTCAAACTGCCTATCCCTGTCTGTCCCTATCAGTTCCTCTGAGTATTTTGTATGTTGCTATCATGTCTCCCCTGGTCCTGTCCTCTAGGGTTGTTAAATTCAATTCCTTCAGGCTTTCCTTGTAAATGATATCCCTTACCTCTGTAACTAGTCTCGCTGCTTACTTTCAGACTGTTTCCTGTTTCTTAACATGCTTCCTCAGGTGTGGATTCCATGCTTGTGCTGCATACTCCAAGATGGGCTTGACATGTTGTACAAAGTACCCAGAATGACTATGAGATTCCTGAAGGCCACTTTCTGATATGACTGGTAAGCACTAGCTGGAGAGTTGCTCAGCTGATATGAGCTTCTGGTAAAATGATAGGAACTTTTTTCTTCCAGGTCCACCTTGAATGAGATCTACAGCCTCTGGTGTGTGTATATATAGATAAGAGGAAGGGAGTATGGAGGAATGAAATATATTTAGACGAGTTTATGAAAAATGAAGTGAACCATAGGAGGAAGGATGGCCGATAGGCTGAGGCATATATGGAAGAAAAGATTATTAACAGAAGCAAAAATAGGGAATGTACCAGAGAATAGTGGTACAGTACCAACATTGTATATGGGTTCTAGGCACAAGTTTTGAATGCTGCAGTGAAAAGGAAGCTAGAGGATGCAAATATGTTATGTCTGACAGTCTTATGTAGTGTAAAAACAGTCAGTTCTCTTATAAAGCTCCTCTATACAGTGCAGTTTTTATAAAGTCAACTGGAAAACTGCATCCAAAATTAAAAAGTGAAAGAAATTTCTAGTATATACTAATAAATTTTGAATGCACTTTTTCATTTTCATTTAAAAAAAAACCACATTGTATAGAATAACTTCATAAGAAACTGACTATCAATGAAGAATTCCGAGCACAGAAATTACAAGGCAATGTGAGGTAACCAAGGGTACAATTCAGAGGGCTGAGGAGGAGATAAAGTGGTTTGGGCATATAGAAAGGATGGAGAGGGACAGGATGACAGTGTATAAATCTGGGGTGGGAAGGTTGAGGAGAGAGACGAGGTACAAGAAGTGTTGAGTTTTAGGGGGTCGAGCATTCAGCAGGCTTGTGTGATTGTATTAAATAGTAGTGCAAGGAGGGAAGTGGTTGTTAATGGACATGCTGGAGTGGGAGCAGGGTAGATTTTATGAAGGGATTCAGGTAACAGGTTAGCCAGCATTCTGAAGCAGGAGTGGGGATCTTGCAGTTGGAGGGTAATCTCATTGTAATGTGAGCACACTTCTAGAAAGACTATGTATCATGTCCAAATAATAATGAATAAATAAATAAACAAATAAATGTTTCTTCCTTGTTAGGTTACCCCTGCCTTGGCAGAAAATGACCAAGTTAAAATTAAATCTTTTTTTCCAGGGATGACCCCCCCCCCTAAAAAAAAAAAAAAAAAAAGGAAGAAGAAACACTTTCACCATCATTCACTTCATCACTGTCTTGCCAAAGGTGCATTGATACTATAGTTCAGATGTCCCTCTAAACAGTAAATATCCCCACTCCTTTAGAGTGAAGGTACTGTTTGCTCACCTCCAGGACTCAAGTCCAGCTAACTGGTTTCCCAGAATCAATTCACAAAATGTTACCTTGCTCACACTCCAACAGCTCGTCAGGTCCCAAAAACAATTTGCCTCCACTCACTCCCATCTAACATCTTCATACATGCCTGCTGCATGTCCAAGCCCCATGCACACTAAACGTCCTTTACCCCCTCCCTCAATCTTGTCCTAAGATGAACATTACCCAGCATTCCCTCCACAACAGATTTATACACCCTCCAAGTCATCCTATTTTGTGCCATCACAGTAAATGACCAAACCACCTCAACCCTTTCTCAACCGTCTGAATAACACTTTTAGTAACTCTGCACCTCCTCCTAATCTCCAAATTACGAATTCTCTGCATAATATTTACACCACACATTGCCCTCAGACACTACATCTCCACTGTCTCCAATATCCTCCTCACTTTAACATTAACAAGCTAAGCTTCATACCCATATAAGAGTGTTACAACCACTATACTCTCATACATTTCCCTGTTTGCCTCCATGGATAATATTCTTTGTCTACAGAGATGCCTAAACACACCCCCCAACTTTTTGCTTTCATCAATTCTGTGGTTCACCTCGTCTTTCATCTACCCATTCACTGATAAGTCCACTCTTAAATATCTGAACACTGGCCATCTGTATTTACATACAGATATACTAAATGCACTTATTCACATTATACAATACATATATTCACCTGCCTTGGTGGGTGATAGCCAGGGAGTTAAAAAAAATATATATATATATTCACTTTTTTTTTCAACACATTATTTCCTACCAGGGCAGGGTGATAAAAAAAAAAAAAACTTTCATCATTCAACACTTTCACCATCACTCATACATAATCACCGTCTTTGCAGATGCGCTCAGATACGACAGTATCTGAGCACCTCTCCTCACTTAATGATGGAGTTCCGTTCCTAAGACCACATCAGTAAACAAATTCGTTACTAAGTGAGGAGCATACTATAATGGTAGTGGGTTTGTGTCAAACATTTAAAAAAAATTCTGGTATATTTTTAAATGTTTATACAGCAGTGTACTGTATACTGTAATAAATAGAATAGAGGAAATCAGCTCTAATATACATTATTTAGGTATGCATACTGGGCAGGGAGCCCGTTTAAAGCCCAAAGTCATCGGTAAACAAGTACGCCGCTGAGGAGAGGATATATGTATGTTTTTTGTTTTTTTCAACAAACTGGCCGTACCCATCAAGGCAGGGTGGCCCAAAAAGAAAAACAAAAGTTTCCCTTTTTAAATTTAGCAATTTATACAAGAGAAGGGGTTACTAGCACCTTGCCCCGGATTTTAGTTCCCTCTTACAACACACATGGCTTATGGAGCAAGAATTCTGTTCCCCAGTCCAAGCCCCTCACCCACAAAACTTTCTTCACCCCCTCCCTCCAACCTTTTTGAGGATGACCCCTACCCCACCTTCATTCCTCTACAGATTTTTTTTTTTTTTAACAAGTCGGATATCTCCCACCGAGGCAGGGTGACCAAAAAAAAACAAAAAAAAAAAAAAAAAGAAAATACAGTACTTTCATCATTCAACACTTTCACCTCACTCACACATAAGCACTGTTTTTCAAGAGGTGCTCAGAACTCAACAGTTTAGAAGTATATACGTATAAAGATACACAACATATCCCTCCAAAACTGCCAATTTCCCAAACCCCTCCTTTAAAGTGCAGGTATTGTACTTCCCATTTTCAGGACTCAAGTCGGCTATATAAAAATAACCGGTTTCCCTGAATCCCTTCACTAAATATTACCCTGCTCACACTCCAACATCTCGTCAGATCTTGAATACCATTCGTCTCCATTCACTCCTATCTAACACGCTCATGCACACTTGCTGAAAGTCCAAGCCCCTTGCCCACAAAACTTCCTTTACCCCCTCCCTCCAACCTTTTGGAGGACGACCCCTACCCCGCCTTCCTTCCCCTACAGATTTATACGCTCTCCATGTCATTCTACTTTGATCCATTCTCTCTAAATAATCAAACCACCTCAACAACCCCTCTTCAGCTCTCTAATACTTTATTAACTCCACACCTTCTCCTAATTTCCACACACTGCATTTTCTGCATAATATTTACACCACACACTGCCCTTATAAAGGACATATCCACTGCCTCCAACCGCCTCCTTGCTGCAGCATTTGCATCCCAAGCTTCACACCCATATAAGAGTGTTGGTACTACTATACTTTCATACATTCCCTTCTTTGCCACCATAGATAACGTTTCTTGTCTCCACACATACCTCAATGCACCACTCGCCTTTTTTTCCTTCATCAATTCTATGATTAACCTCATCCTTCATAAATCCATCCAGATTTATACGTTCTCCAAATCATTCTACTTTGATCCATTCTCTCTAAATATTTAGACCATACCACCTCAACCACCCCTCTTCAGCTCTCTTGACTTACACTTTTAGTAACCCCACACCTCCTCCTAATTTCCATACTGCGAATTCTCTGCATAATATTTACACCACACATTGCCCTCCTCTGCATCTCCTCTGCCTCCAGCCGCCTCCTCGCTGCAGCATTTGCAACCGAAGCTTCACACCCATATAAGAGTGTTGGTACCACTATACTTCTATACATTCCCTTCTTTGCCTCCATAGATAATGTTTTTTTTGTCTCCACAGATATCTCAATGCACCACTCACCTTTTTTCCTTCATCAAATCTATGGTTAACCTCATCCTTCATAAACCCATCTGCTGACAAGTCAACTCCCAAATACCGGGAAAAAATTCACTTTTTTCCCTTCCCTCTCCAATGTGATATCCAAATTTTTCTTCTAAATTTTTTTGTTTCCCTTTCATAAACCTTATTTCCCCTTTTATGTTCATTTTTAAACTTTTCAAACTTTAAAAACACCCCCCCCCAAATTGTCCACAAACTTTTGAAACTTTTCTTAAAAATCCCCATAAGCACTGATCACGAAAAAAAGAACTGTGTCAACTCCCTTTTTGTGTTTGTTCCCCCAAAATTTTAATCCCACCCCCCCCCCCCAACCCAACCCTAGCATTTACTTTTTTAAAAACCCCATCAAAAAATTTAATTTTTAAAACCCTTTGGGGGACT